GAAGAGATCTTTTCTAGAAGCACTGTGTAGTATTTCTCTAGCGTCTCTATTATTCTTACTAGCAACTTCTTCTAGCTTTCTTCTGTTATAGAGAAGGCTATCTATAACACTAGTAAACTACCCTCTAAATTAAGCAACGTTACTCTTAGCAAGTCTCTCTACAAGAAGTTTAACTATATAATTACGCTAGATATTATTAAGCGCTAGACTAGTAATAATGCTAAGTTACAAGCCTTTTAGCTTACTCTTAATAACCTTTATGTTAACAAAGTTAGTTGCTAGAATTAGACACTACTTACAGGTTATATACGTATTAAGCTCTAGAGTAGTAAAGACCTTACTTATTTTAAGAATATAATATAGATCTTCGCATACAAGAATAATATTAAGGCGTATAACTACTACTATATAGCCTAACTAAGGCGCGCTGTATTACTTATTAAGGCGTCTTATACTAGTAGAGTTCTAGTAGAGACTACTAGCACTAATAAAGCTAGAAATCTCTATACTCTAATACCTATGTCTATTAACGCTTGCATTATACTATAGAATAACCTTTAGATTAACTATTAGTTATTTAATAGCTCTATAGGTACTATCTAAGACATAGTCTAGCCTGTTAGTACTAATTACAACATTAACCCGCTCTTTACGCTCTTAGTTAACTTTAATAAGTATAATTAGAACGCCCTCTACGTCTTAAAGAACTCTAAGACTAATTAATTATTAGTTCTAATCTTCTGCGTAAAGCGTAACTAGGTAAAGTTAACTATTACCTATATACAAACGCAGTTTTCTATTACTATTATATACGCTATTACTATCTACAAGAGCTAAGGTCTCTCTATTACTACTACTATGCTTAACCTAGAAAAGAAGCAAGACTTCTTACCTAGTCTTACCTACGTTACTATCTTACGTATTAGAACTCTAGATAGTCTTTTATTTAAGAAGCTATTTAACCTAAAGTAACTTAAGTTTAAGACTATAAACACTACTATTATATAAGCGCGTAATCTTACTATTTATAAGAGTTAGAAGATTTCTCTGCCTCTCTAACATAGCAACAACAGAGAAGATAATAACCTACTAGTATTCTCTAGCTCTTAACATAGTTATGCAAGCTAAATATTAATCTTACTATTACTATCTAATTCTATTATTTCTTCTAGAGAGTTACGCTCTATAATTACAGTGCCTTCTAGAGCTACTAGTTCTATTGTCTTTTCTAACGTTACTGCGCCTCTACCTAGGCTACTACTATCTTATTATATTAATAGGCTTTTGCTACGTAACTTAGCCTAGTATAATAACTTTAATAAAGCGTAAGTAAGCTAGAGTAATAATAGTATAAGCTAGTTTAAGTGTGTTACTTCTACTCTCTTCTATAACTATAACCTTATACCTATTACCTATTAAGCTTTCTCTAGTATTAATATATATATCTAGTGTAACTATAGGCTTGCTATAGACAACTCGCGACGCTAGATATAGTGTACAAATAGCTAAGGTTATAATATAGCAAGGTTAGAGATAGACTTAGTTAAGAATACGTTCTATAACTTATGTAAGAATATAATATAATTAAGAGACACTATAAAGAATAGTAACACAAAGAATAGCAACATAAAAAAGAACACTATTAGATACTTAAGTAGGCTTCTGCTTATTAATATTTATATTAACTAGTTATATAGACCTATAGGTAGACAATAAACATTTACTTCTATTAAACTACTAGACCTTTACTATCGCGCCGCAGGCCTCTTAGCGTCTAGAGCCTAATATAGCAGCTAAAGCTGTACTTCTTTAGTGCTGTTTACAAACTAACAGACTATTTTAATATCTTTAACAGGCAAAGCGTATAGTGCACTTTAATAACAGCTAAGTGTACTAGGTGTGCAATTCTACGGTCGCGAATAAGGTTTAGCCCCGTGGTTAGCTAGATACTCACTTCGAAAATCGCGTTCGAAGACTACTCGATAGCTACTAGCTCACCAAGCCTAATAACATACCGGACAACAAGGTAACTTTGAATCACATGAATGCAATGTAGAAAGCAGCCCCCGTAAACTAATTAGTAGTAGACCTATATCTACAACAACTAGTTCAAGATTGTCTGGGAGTACTCCAATCGACGTCTCACGTTTGCGAAGGACAGACTTCCTGCTTTAGCCGGTATTACCACGGAATTCGAGAAGCGTCTCGAAGACGATAGTGTGTGTGGATTGTGGACAAGCGACTTGCATCGTGGTCTACTGTTTCAGCAGTTACACGACTTTTATTACCGTCCAAAAGACTCTTGAGACTTGCCGTCATGGCATGACACACCAAGTTGGTCCTGGGCAACTCTAAATAAACCCGTAACTTGGGTTGGTTTAGAATTCTTGGATCACACACACACTCCCTTCACTAACATCGATATCGTCCAATGTCCGGGGAGTACACGACTGCGGCTTCGGAAGACATTCGTAATTTGCTTAGGCGAGTATCCCTCCTTCAGATCGGCAGGCAACGAGAATGACCTGGCTACGCATTTCGTGGGGATGAACCAGAGTGGTTTCCGGCTTCACTTCTTTCTAGACCAGTGGTTCGCCATGACCTTTGGAGAGTACCCAAGCAAGATCACGTCAATAGACGCTCGAGACGAACGACTTACTACTAATAAAAACGAGCAATCTCTTCTGGAAAGGACCGTTATCGTGCCGATAACGTATTCCGCTTGGTATTCGGCTCAGCTTCAAAACAAAGGTGGTGATGTGTGGTGTCTCCTGCTGTATGCGCCACCCGGAGCTGAAGAGGGAGTATATAGAAGAGCAGGCGTTGTCGCTGCTTCCAATTGGTTCGGGAGCTGGGAAGATCCTGACGCCGCTATGATCAAAGCCCAGTTCGACGCGTATCGGAGGCCAGTTGCGCGCAAATTCTTTCAAGAGGAAAATGATCAGGGTAATCACACGGTTACGGTAATGTAGAGAAGAAGGATTGAACGTTGATCTAGGACAAGTCTGACCACCCGAGAGCATATGTTGTCGTTGGCTCACCTACATGACAAGTTTTCATCTTCAGGTAGTCTGCAGACCTGTTTAGTTACTTCCTCATAGGGTGCCATGTTGGGCAACTCAGCATGGCTCGGCCGCCTACGTCACGTCGCATCGAGGACTGCCAGCTTACGCGCGGGGTATGTATTCGTCAGGTCAAGCATCGCCTTTGCTCAAAATTGCTTTCCAAAAGACACCTATGCAAAACGACGAAGAACATGTGTGGATGTGGAACGCCGCAAGGCAAGAGCGCTTCCGCTTGTCGGATGATCAGTCATGCTGGGTATACGCATATTCCGGCCTGAGAGTACCGGTGGAAACAGTATGCGTCACCAACGATACGTTTGTAACGCTGGCTGATGCGAGAAGGGCTACAAATCACTATCCTTTGATCAACGCAGAAGGCGGTACGAATAGTTGCACGTGGGTTAGCATTGCCGCACTGCTCGCAAACGGCGACCGGATGACGACGGAGATGCTGTATACCCGTCTCAAAGAAAAGAATACAACGGTGTCGAAGTGACCCACGTCAAGAATCAGTCTTCTGAAGGCTGCACGAACGCTAGGAGACAGTGATGTTAGAAGAATCGACGGCAAGTACACCGAACTGAGTGAAAACGACGTACCTCATGAAAAGAACTTTGCAGTTGGCGTGTTGATACCAGGCGAGACCGAATTGTGCCTTATAATTAATTCACGATGCAGCCTGTGGCATGCATCACGCTGAGCACAGCAGAATTCAAGCCAACACTCTTGCAATTTCTCTTATTTTATAAGAGCATCTTTCACTCTAGGTCGTCAATTTTGCGGAAAGTTGGTTGAGCATCGTCCTTCGCGCATACCAAAGCTATCTAGCACAACAAACACATCAACAGCTCCATGATGCCACAGAACCGACCCTATCACCATGGACCCTCATCAGATGATCAACCATCTTGTCCTTGCGCGTGAACCCTCGCCCTCTTTCCATCTTGCTCCTATGGCATCCCTCGACCGGGCACCAGAAGCGTGCGTTGTGCGCGTCATGCACGGAGGCGTGGTGTCTGCGCAATTCGGGACCGCGACCGAACGTTACGCTATTGCAGGGTGCAATGTTGCAGACGTGTCTGCGAGGCCGTCGCAATCCGTTTGCGGGTCGACGAATGTTCGTTTCATGATGGTTACTGGCGGTCGCGGCAGCGGGAGGGAGGTGTGGCGCGTGAGTGTCGATGACGAAGTAACGGGGCTGGGTGAGGTCGAATTGACGGGGTTCGGGGTGGATTGGATTGGGGGCGTTGGAGGTCATGCCTTTGTGGGAAGGGAACAAGGTTGGTCTACGCGTTGGTTAGTATCTTAAAAGCTGTCTTCGCAGTAACGGGTCCGGCATGAGTAGGTAGCATTGCAACGTTTTCACAATATACACTGGCTACATCACAGGCACATGAGGATATTTCGAGGCCGTGTAACATAGTCGTCAGTTGGGCCCAGTGCTCACGAAAGGTTAGTAAGTCGTGAATCGCAGTCGCCGTTCTAGCCGCAGAGGCTGCAGCCGAATTCATTCGGCTTGTGCGGTCAAACTCAAACGTCAACAAAATTGAATTGTCTAAGTAGGATAAGAGGCTACTTGTATCAGTCCGATGAACATGCTAGCTACTTGATCCCACCGAGACTGGAGGCAACGCTGTTTGTCTAGCACATCTTAGGAGCTATTGTCTTTTTGGTTCTTGTTAGACGGTCATTGTGAGAGCTAAAGCGAAGTTGTACATAATGTAGCAGGTGTTGTTGCGTTGGATGTAGTATCATGTTGTATGCGCAACGATCGCTGTTGTTATCTACGTAAAGTTAGCATGTGTGCAACAGAATCATGTTATGATGGGACTAACGTACCTGCTTTGCAAAGTGTTATGATACCGCGCATGTCTCGCGGCAAGGAAGTGTCGAGGGTCACACTGTACACATAAACTCATCGCAAGATCGAACCACTTACGCGAAGACGGTATCGTTGAGCGTGGATGCGTGATAAGAGCTCTGATCGTCTGGTGTCGGGAACGACCAAAATGTGGTATCATCGATGAGAAGTTCCTTCATCATGGCGTCGATATCAAGCGGCGGATTGGGTTGCACAGTGGGAGTGGGCGGCGCGATTAAGTTGTCGGAGTGCTCGTACAGCATGTCGATTGAAGGTGGATCGGGGCCTGCACATTCGTGGGTTAGAATATGATGCGTATAACGCGATATTGGACTTACCAGAGGGCAAGACGTAGTAGGCGTCTTGAGATTCAAATGCAGCGAGATCACCCTGCGAAACAAAGGCACAGTCGATGTCGCCGATGTCGTCGATGGAGAGGGAGGAGGGATTGATGTCAAAATCGGCGGGTAGGTCGAACATAACGGGAATAATGTAGAATGCTTGGTTTAGACAAGAGGTATCTGCGAGGAATAGAACAGGTTGTATTGAGTTGCGATGCTGATGAGAAAGACAGTGTATTAGGGACAACGCACGCTGAAGTTTTGTATGTTCGATGCGGCTGACGTGTGGCGACATTGCCCAGCTGTGCCCTATGGTACCCTGCTGTAATAATAGCCCCAACGGCATGCATCAGCAAGTGTGACACTCGCAATGTGATTTTTCAGAGTTCTCACCGCAAGACTCATCGCAACGACCTATTGCGCATCCATTGCATAGTTATTCTTAGCTGCCGTGGTTGAGTATGAGACGACAACTCCGAGATTCCGACGAACAGCCCTAGAGCCGACGCTGTTAACTTAAAAACTCACGAGTGCCCTGCACCTATAAGTATGTTCGTGGAATGTAGCGTTGCGACAACAAATGGATGAATCCAGAACAACATCTTGGCGCGATGCTCGGGTCGGTCCGTCGAGAGCCGCTGCAGCGTATAGAAAAACCACATTTGGTGCTGCATGTCAGCGCGAGATTCAACCAATTACCACCGTTCAAAGCAATTCGAGTCGCCGTGTAGCGTGCGATACAACAACAGAAAGAAGCAGCAAGCTAGATGGTGTAACCTTTTGCAGCGAAACTGGACAAATCGAAGTCGTCATTTTCAAAACTGTCTAGGGCTGCATTGGCACGTCAAAGAGGCCTACCTCTGCACCTAGTTCCCGCAGCAGCGTAGCCGATCTCTCGCCATACAATCTCTCGATTACTTCCAAAGCGTCCAGCTCCAACAGCGTCCGATCAGTCTCCAGGGCGCTATCGGTTCGACTACTAGAACAGTCCAGCCCGGGGGAAGTCCTTGAACTGCCAAGAACCGGCCCATGATCCTTTGAGTTGTACTTCTCGTACACTGACCCCGGATACGGGTCGTGAGAATACAGCTCATCTCCATTTGCGTTGTTGTCAACGAAGACACGCGGGCAGAGATACGTCTCCAGTAATACAGGCGTCGCAGCGCATGTAGATTCTCGTATTCTTTTGAGAAGCTTCTGGGCTCGAGAATACACGCCGCGCTCGGCGCTGTCCTCGACACTAATCAACAGGTCCGGTTGTGTTGACTCTTCACCCAAGGCGTGCCGTACCACCTGGTACACATAGAACATCTGGCCCAGTGATCTGAAATCCTTTGGTTTTTCCTCGTCGGGCACAAATTGCAGAAACCTTGTCCAGGCTGGTTCGTGGACACTGAGATCGTCGATGGCTTGTCGCACTGATGGAAGCGTACGCTTCACGAGTGATTCGCGGATGCTTGAGAGAATTCGCTCACCACCCGGGGTGACGCTGATGAAGCACGATTTGATGGATGGGTCTCGGCGCAGCAGCTCGACGCGGAGATAACAACGGAAGATGTGCGAGATCTGATGATGGTGCGTCTCTATGGCACAGAGCCAACGCAGGGCCTCAGCGAATGAACAACGACCAGACCGCAGTAGATCGTCGATGGTCTGGTAGTAATGAAAACTGGGAATGTCCAAGCAGATCTGGGGCTGCTGGCAGACTTTGTCGCCGTCATTATGGTCAGTACGCTCCGCCGCGGGTCGGGAGGCGATGGCAAGATCTGCAATGGCCGGGGCACTACGGGCAATGTACTCGAGCTCGTAGAGCGTAGCTCCGTTGCAATCCTCATTTTGGAGGTTGATAGTTGGCACGTCTTTGGTAGCCGTGGTCATAGCCTTGCCCGAAAACAGACAGATTCCCGATAGAATAGTGACACTGCGCAAGCTCGAAGTCAGAAAACCTTGAAGCGCAGCCTTCGACGATAGTCCAGCGAAGTGCAGCCATTGCGTAGATGACACGAGGCTCGGTGGTGTCAGAGAACTTGGAAAGTCGAACCTGGTCTCGACGAAGAAGGCAATTCTCTTTGTGGCCCATTCGTGATAGACCAAAGGATAACCCCCAACAATACCATTGGGCGTGACGGTGACCTTGGTCTTCTTGTTGCCAGCAGAGCCGATGAGTTGTCCGAGTCCCCTGGCCGTTTCATGCCCCCTTCTTACTGCTCTCTTGTACCGGGGATGCCCGGGAATCTCGTCTCTACGGACGCCGTCGACCTGAGCAGGAAAGTATCCGAGGATTTTCGTCGGAAAACATCGCATGCTGGCTCCAGTGTCATAGAAACAGATCGTGCATATGTCGTCGCTTGATGTTTCCAGGTTGGCAATCGGAAAGGTCATTGTTTCTGTTTGCAGGCTGGGTCCACGAAGTGTGCTTAGAGTGCAGAGTTAGTGACTCCAGCTCTGTTCAGCTCACGTATATAACAGTCCCAGATCTGCTCCGGCATCGACTGCATGCATCTCTTAGGAATGACCGTCCTCGAAGCTGAGTCGCAACGATCCCCAGGACAGTCTAGTGCGCGAGGCCTCCACCATCCCCCCTCCACCTCCCGAGGCGGTCAAACATGTGCTCGCTTTGAAAGGCCGAGAGATTGTGTATGTAAGATATTGTGGATACGCGAAGGATTGCATCCTACACTGGAGTGCCTTGGCCGCTGTAGCAGGCCGCGCCTCCATAAGGAGTAACAACAGCTGAGACGTAGCTCACTGACCGCCGTGCCATCTCACTTGGCTCCCTGTTGCGATACGGTGAGTTCATTCGTCTTGATAGAAGCAGAGCGCGGTTGGTCGACGGAAATTGGGCGAATGGTGTGCGAGACATCCAACACCTCGTCTTCACCTCCCCCGCCCTCCCATGAGATTCGCTGAGCGCCGCGGCATCTCACTTCGCTCCCCGATGCGATGCGATGCGGTGAGTACGATCCCCTGAAATCGATCTTGCGGAAGCAGAATTCCGCGGGAACAGCCAGCGGCGCGGGCGGGTAGGTACCAATGTCAGCTTTGGGAACGACTGCATTGAGAACCTTGGAAGCAGGTCGCGATTGGTTGACGCGAGTCGTAGCGATAGCAAGTTGCCTGAGCAGTGTTTGAGTGAAGGATGCGCGTAAGCGCGGAAGTCGCGATGACGCCAATCTCGCCCTTGCTTAACGGCCAAATTGGGTCACGGCAATTGTAGCGGTAGCCATCTACCTTCGCAACGTTATGATGAAGGATGCGCGCAAGTACGGAAGACGCGGTGATGTAGGTGGTCGCCGACCTCATCCTTGCTTGACGTCCAAAGAAGGTCACCCCTTGCTTAACGGCCAAGAAGGATTATGACGGGACTTGGTGGAAGAGGAAAACTACTGTAACCGATGTCGCGACCGATAAGAAATCCGAAAGCATGACTGTCCATCGCTCACCGCTGGAATAATGGATCCTCGATAAGGCAAATGATCTATAACAAGGATATAAGCATCATAAGATGACTGGACGCTAGAAAAGGAAAGTGATTTGGGAAACTCAAGGTTTGGGAAACCCATCTCCAGTAGCAAGCCGACCACGTCGCCATGGCGCATAAATTGGGTATCAATCTTCAGCTCGTATCTTCGTCTATCCAAACAAGAAGGAAATATCTTCCTTTGCTCTCATGCGCTTCGTCAAACGTATCGACATCCAAAAAGGTCCAAGAAGGAAGAAAAGAAAACCCAAACGCCAGTGATGCAATCTATCGGAATCCAAACAAGACCAAAGAGATAGATGGTAAGAGATGTTTCATATGTAAGGAGCCTTCATACACACACGCTGCCGTAATATCCGTATGCATGTCCAGGTCTACGAAGCCTCAGCCAAGGCCTCACCAAGCGCATCCGCATCGTAGTCTTGGACCACGACCTTGGCCGGCGCATCGGGGACCTCGTCGAAGAAGCCCCATATGGGTCCGTTCTGGTTCACGCCGCTCGGCCTCAGCTTGGGCTTGTCCTTCTTCTTCGAGCCGTCCGCATTCGTGGTCGTGGTGCCTTCGCTAGACTGCGTGTCCTGCGTGGACTGCGTTTCCTGGCTAAGGATCGAAGGCGCACGGGTAGCTGTTGGCGATGTGACAGGAGCAGGCGATGAGCCCCATTTGCCAAAGACCCAGCCTCCAACCTTCTTTGTGAGACCGGGGCCGCTTGAGGGCTGGGGACCGTCGCTCTTCCGAGGTCCGCGCTTCTGGTTCGCGATGCTGGAGTAGAGGAAGTCGCGGTTGGCCATGCTGCTCTGCGATGTCTTGTTCGAAAGCGTGCCGTGCGCGGTAGCGGTCCATGGTGTGAGTTCGGGGCCGACGGAGCCAGAACTGCCAGGCGTTGCGAACCTCGCCGCATTAGAGTATAGGAGTTGCGAGGGTCGTGACTGCAGTGTGTGGATGTCCATGCCGGAGACCGAGATGAGGGATTCGTGGGAAGCGTGGCGGCGTAATCCGGGACGCATGGCGGTCATGGGCGAGACGAGGTCGTCGGGCTCGAATTCGCCGTTGGACGTCATCAACGATGGCTCGGCCGTCGATAGCGAGGAGTCTTCGCTTTCCTCCGGAATAGCAGCCTGAGGCTCCGGCTGGAGGTAGGGCGAGAGCGTAAAGCTGGCGTCTGAGAAGGAGTTGGCGGGGCTAACAGCTGATATGACGGCCGTCGCAGGACTGCTCTTAGCAGTAAGGGCGATGGGCGTGCTGGAGCTGCGCATTGTGGACAGACTCGGTGGCATGAGGCCGCGAGACTTCCGTCGCAGATGCTTGTTTCCGCCCTTGGCGACCTCAAGAGTGCCAGACGACCTTCGCAGCATCGGCGGCAACGCATCCGGATCGGAGCTGTAGTCGTTCGATTTGACGGGCCCGAACATGGGAGACTGGAAGTCGATGGAATCGGGAGGGCTAGTGGGCCGGGAAGAGTCATAGGCCTCGCTGAAGACACGGTCGTACATTGACCCACGGTGTGAGTCCGAGACGGGTGACCCTGCGAAAGAGCCCGGCGTGAGGGTTGACGCCTGGGACCATCTGTGCGAGTTAGGCACAGTAACCGCGGTGTGTTCCAGTATCGTGGCTGTGGATGAGCGGTCGAGGGTCGCAGGCGGGTCGAAGTGCGTCGGGGTGAGGGAGAAGCGCTTCTTCTTGGGCCGTCGCTGAGCCGGTGGCTTGGGCACATTTCTGGTAACCTTCGGACCGTGGTAGTGGTGATGTATGTGCAGTTCCTGCTGTAGCGACGCTTCTTGTTCCATTTCCAGTTCCTTCTGCAGCGACGGACTTGTGACATCCTCATCGGGCCGGGGTGATGTCGAGACAGGTTGGTGGACCTTGAGCTGGTCTCGCAGGCGTTCGACCTCCTCATTGGAGTTGCCCAGCAGTTCACGTAGTTCCAGTATGCCGTGTTGCAGGTTCGCGTTATCGAGTAGAATGTCCTTAACAAAGTGGGAGACGACGTTGGGCCCGCCCTTGTCAGTCCCAGCTTTGGCCTTGAGTCTGCCCGCAGCGGTGTGGAGTTCGCCCTCGACGACCATCCGCCGCTCCATGCGAGCCACGACCTCCATGTGGCGCTGACGCTCGGCGCGGGACTCCTTCTCGATGCGGTCGATCTGGTCCTGGAGATCTCCTATAGTCCGCTCGGCCACCTTCCACCGCTGGATGGCTGTGCGCTCGTCGACAATCTTGGCGTCCAGGCTGCTCTGAATCTGCGACTGCTCTCGCTCGAGGTCGATTAGCTGGCGCTCGAGCAGCTGCGTGCGTGCGGCCAGGGAGCTGAGGCGGTCGATCTCGTCTTCGGTGGAGCGCAGCGTGTCCTCCAGCGCGCGGATGTGGGCGTCTGACTCGGCGACGGCGTTGTTGAGCTGTTCGAGCTGGTCGAGGAGGTCGCGGTTCGCCTTGATGGTCTGCGCATTCTTGGCTTCGAGCTCGATCTTGTCCTTTTCGAGCCCTTCGATGGTGTTGATCATCTCCCTGCGCTCGCGCTCCGAGTCGGCGACGTAGGCCTCATGGCGGACGAGCAGGGCCTGCAGGGCAAAGGTTAGCGGCATGCGCGGTAGTAAGAGCCGACATGCGGGAGTGAGCGACGTACCTGGCCCAGCTGTGCAGCCTTGGAGACATCTCTCTCCAGTCCTTCTAAGAGTCTTCCGTTGTGGGCGAGGAAAGCGCAGTCATGGCTCCCACAACAGCAGCGAGGCCCTGGCATGGCACCAAGGCCGGCCGAGTCCATGTGTACGACCCCTCCGTGCGCGTAAACAAGTCGTGTGTAGCCGGCGGGAGCAGCGTGGTGAGTTAAAAATGCGTCGCGGTGTGGTGGATGGTGTCGCTCATGCTCGAATTAATGCTGAGCAGGTAGGAGCTACATAGGAGGGAGGGAGCGGTGGCAGGAAAAGCAAGCGTCGAGGGAGTGAAGCGTTGTGGTGGTCACTAGTCGGGCGCGTCGAGGGCTGATTTGTTGTTCCTGACTATGCCGGCAGGCGGACCACGCTCCACTTGCCCAGGTGTCCCTGCCAGCTCACACTCTCCGCCCACAAGCCTGCCACCGCCTTTTCCACCACCCCATTCCCTGTTTCTCCCACACATACACTGAACCCGGATCCGCACGCGCATGTGATATTATACTTTGCGCACATCCTTCACTCTTTCCCTAGGCATCGTGAACGAATTTCCCTCACCAGACCGCCGACGTCAACGGCGCTCGGACGCACCGTTTTCGATACCCCTGCGCAAATTCTAAGATTACACATGCGAACGCCAATATCTCGCAATCTTAAGCTCAAAACAAACATGACTGTCTTGGCGGCTGCCTCGCGATGACTTCGCGCTGACTTGGACGCACTCTTGTGTGAGTAGGCGAAGATGAGTACGCGGCAAGGTGAGTATATAGGATGCGTCCTGCTGAGTGTCAGGTAGGTCGCGAAACTTCATATCGAGTCGACTCTTTCGTCTTATCAACCCCGCGTCACGTGAACTACTCCAGATTGTCCCCCAGGATTCAATGGCTCAACGAATGATATCAAAGACTACGACGATGCGCATCGCTCCTTCGACACGGAATTATTCTCATCTGCATGATTCACCGCCAGCCGCAGTCACCAACACCCGCCGTCTCCATATCTCAGCGCCTTCCACCAAAGATCACATCCCTTCAACCCCAAGACCAGACCACCAAGCCGAGAACTCACTGCTTCCCTCCTTCAACCTCTTCAAGCTCGTCCGCGATGCCAAGCCAGCAGTCCGCTACACCGTCTACGCCGGTCTCGGTCTGATGGCCACGGTCGAGACGACTTTCTGGTTCTACGTGCTGCGAGCCAAGTTCTTTCCGCGGGCGTCAGCAGAGGAACAGGAGAAGGCCGATGCGCTGCTCCAACGTTTGAGCGAGGCCATGAAGAACTATCGTCATGTGTGGATGACGAATTACAACCGGTACTACGGTGCGCACATGTGGGGGCTGGGGTATGGAGGACTTGATGGACTGGAAAATTGATCAGTGCTGAGCTCTGCTTCAAGCCCGCCATCGGGCGCATCGTGCATAAGGAGGCGCAATTTGGCGACAAGTCATCCATACCCCGCGTTTGGTGTCCCCGGGCGCCATAACAGCCTTGCAAAGTTTCGATTTTCACGAGACTACTCATGTCATGACACCCTCGTCATGTTCATCTGTATTTACATACATGTTCCAAATTCACTCACTTTATTCACGCTGCAGACGTCGAAAGTGGCATGTGCCGACTTGAGAAGCTTGACGATGGGCTGGAAGATAAGCACCGATGCGATTGGGTGGGATTTTGGTGGCTACACCGGTGAGCGACGCATGCGTCCCTCCGGGTGCGTGATTATGCATGCGTTGGCTCGGGCTCAGATGCGTGACATTGGGTTGGCCCAGCCTTTCTTGCGTGTTGTCGTTGGCCCAAACTGTTATTTATAAGGGAAGCTCGATCCCACGTCGCTCGTCTGCTGCGCTCGATGGTGAGGGCACTCCCCACACTATGGTTCCGAATTGTGTTTGGATACAGAATGCACACACCGAGAAGATCACCGTGGTACTTTCGTCAACCCGACCACGTCGACTGCTAACCGGTGGTAACGCTGAAGGTTCACCCGCTGGCGGTGGAGTTGGTCTTAATACCGCTGTACGCGCTCCTGTTCCGTTGTCTTCCACACTGAGACGTGCTTGAGACTCGTTACTTACGAAGTGAACACAGTTGTACGATGAAGCCTCAACGAGGAAAGATATCTACCCGGGTAAAATAGCCAGGTTCACTCTGGCGTCGTCGTGGACAGAGCGAACCGGCTTAATATCGATATTTGATTCCCTCGGGTACCCCTGCGTACAGAACGATCGGATACCAGCCGGGACGAAAGCAATCTTCGTGAAAGAGGAGGATCTCAAGCAGTACGCGTATAACAAAACACTGATGCAGAACCCGAACTCAGAGTACCATGTACCGGGTCTTTAGTCGGACGTTCCAACAATTGCTTAGCTTGCATTGTTATTGCGGTTCAAAATCAAGCTCTCTCGGACCGAGGACGCCCATGGGTCAGACTACGTTTGTGATGGATTAGCTTGTCCTTTCCGTTATGACAAGATACTCAGCGTTGTAGGGCCGCCCATCACATCGTACATATGAGCAGGGTGCTGTCGGGAAAGCTTATCCCTCGCTGACGACAGAGGTCATACCTTACTTTCCGATGCTGCAGTACGTTGCGCACATCCTCGTAGTTATCGCCCTTCTATAGTGGGACACGATAAGGCACAGCTGGGCAACATTGTCGCTTCTCAACCGCATCGATCGACCACAGAAAGCATCGGCTTCCATGAAAACGGTCGCTCTCTTTCTATTCCCACTGAAATCGATGCCTCAATTCCATATACTAAGTCTTTTGCGCGCGCAACCTCTTCAAACATATTCCACGTTGTCCCCATCATGTCCGATCACGCCTCCAACCACGACATGTCGTTGTTCTTCAACGACAAAATCAATGCGGACTTCGCTCTCCAAGATGATACTGTGACTGCGTTTGCTTCTCGAAAAACGCTTCACGGACCTTCCTCTGGTAAGCTTAATATTGCATGATGTGCATCGTCATCTGACTCAAATATGGTCTTGCAGCATCTTGTGCCCACGTGTTGGGCGAAGCAGGATATCCACCAGGAACTTGCTCCGTTCCGCATATACCATACTCAGCGCTTCTCCAAGATCAACGCTCTCTATGCCGCACTGATTAGCAAGGGCTTGCGGTGTCAGCGCGAGCCACCTACGTCATTGCGACTTCATTGCTTACGCGCATCCTTCACTCTAACACTGCTCAGGTAAATGGCTATCGCGTCGTCCAATCGCGCTCTACGTCTCGTTATCTCCGAATGCGGGGAAGTATCAATTACTTATAGTCTCACTGACTTTCACTGAAAAGCATTCATTTTCCACTCGAACACCTCTCTCTACTGCCGGAACGATGACAACGATGGAGCTCATCCCCGGTAAGATACCGGGCTACGCGCTGGCTTCAACGTTCGTCGCGCTCGGTGGTATACTGAATGGGTATGTCATGAATGCACTCCATCTCTTGTCACACACGTCACGCATCTTGTTCAGCATAGACGCGAGCCAACTCACTGACGTGCCACCAGATTCGACACAGGCTCCGTCGGCGCAGTCACCGAAATGCCTTCCTTCATCCACACATTCGGTCACCTCACGCCTACCATGCGCGGCTTCACCGTCTCTCTGATCATGCTCTGCGGCGCCATTCCAGCAATAGTCGCCGGCCACCTCGCTGACCGCTTCGGCCGCCTCCGCATCATCATCGTCGGCGCCATTCTTTGCACAATCGGCTGCGTGCTCGAATGCGCTGCCTCCCATCTCAGTCTCTTCCTCGTTGGCCGTGCATTGATGGGGATCGGTCAAGGCTTCGCGCTCACCAATATCGGCGTCTACATCTGTGAAATCGCGCCGAGTCGGAGTCGGGGTAAGTTTGTGTCGTTACCGCAGTTCGGCGCTGCGCTGGGGGTTTGCGTTGGGTATTTCTCATGCTATGGGAGTATACACATCAGCGGCAATATGTCATGGCGGCTGCCGTACATACTACAGGCCGCGCTGGCAACGATGTGGGCTGCTGGCTCGTTCTTCTTGCCCGAGAGTCCCCGGTGGCTCATCTTGCACGGACAAAGAAGTCGCGCGATGCAAGAGCTCAAGAAGCTGGACTTTGAAGCCGCTGAGGCGGAGAAGGACGTCTTGCGCCCTACCGAGAATGCAGCTCCTGGAGAGCAAGTCGGTATACTACAGGGCCTGCGCTTGATCTTCAAGCGCGAATACCGATCGCAGACATGGCTCGCGGTGTTCATCCTGTCGTTCGTTCAGTTGAGCGGCATTGACGGCGTGCTCTACGTACGTTGTGCGCCCCAACGACGTGAACTTATCTGCGCATACTGATTAAATCTCGCAGTACGCCCCGACTATCTTCGCACAAGCAGGAATACTATCGCAAACTGCCTCTTTTCTCGCCTCTAGCGTTTCTGCTATTCTTATGCTCGCCTTTAGCATTTCTGCTACGCTGCTCGCAGACAAATAGAGTTGTTGCACGTCCGCTATCTGTAGCGGCGTTATTCTCTCTAGAACTATGCTTCTTACTAGCTTACTTACTATAGTTAGAAATCTAAATAGAGTCTATTTAGGTTAAATAGTCTATACGTAGAACTCTATAACTAACTCTATTTAAAATAAACTTAAATAAAGATTTTTTAGTAAAAAGTTCTAAGTCTAGTAGACTAGTAAGTATATACTACTAGATTTAAGCCTATTTTTTATAGTTATAGATTTTATAAACCTACTTATATAGTAAGATACTTATAACTAGCTTATACTTTTAGATTTATAAGACTTATTTATATAGTAGAAAACTTATTTCTACTTATAATTAATAGTTTAGTAAATCTACTTCTCTTTTTTAGTATATATATATATAATAGCTACTATTATAGTAGATTATATAGTTATTAATTATAAATTATTTTACTTAGAAAAGATACTTTAACTATCTAGTATCTCTACCTAGTATTACTAAGTACTATTAAGAAGTAAGAGTTTAAATCTCTATACTAATACTTTCTTACTCTTTTTTATAAAGCTTAGTAAAGAATAAAACTTACTAGGTTTAGGTTAAGTTTACTACGCGATATAGAGAAAATTAAAGTAAAGTTTTATTTATCTATAACCTTTTTTCTCTAGAAACCTCTAAATATACCTTATAAAACTACTATTAATTAAAGTAAAAAAGAATATAGAATTAAAATATTACTACGCGTAGTCTCTATCTTTAATTCTTTATTATATATTATAACTATAAGCCTTTACGCACGTATTTCTTACTAAAGTTTCTATCTATAGCTCTCTAACTAACTATAATTATTATCTATAGTACTAAGACTAACTATTATTTCTATCTATAGTGTAAAAGAAGCTTAGTATAAATAAATTATTCTAAAGAATTTAGGCTAGTCTATAATTCTTTACTATTTACCTCTTTTCTATACTTCTTTTCTTTATCTATCTATTACGTATAATAGTCTTAACGCATTTACTATATTACTATATTTCTACTTATTATATACTATACCTACTATAAACTCTATACAGACTATCTCTTATAACTATAATATACTATCTATTATAGTCTATCTACGTAACTTATTATATATAACTTATTATATATAATAGCCTATTACTACTATTCTATAGCTATATTACGCCTTATAATATAATATACTTTAAAGCGTAGATATTATATAAATATTATTAAGTATATATATAATCTACTAATAGAGTACACTACTCTTAATACTTTATATTATTTATATACGCTCTACTACCTATATATAATAGAAAAGCAACATTATAAAAGTAATATAATTAGAATCTAGCTATAAATCTCTTTATATAGCTACCTAAACTAAAGATATAATAGTATTATAAACTAATATATTTATACGTTACAGTTATAACTATAGCTATAACTATAGTAACTAACCTATAATAGTAACTTAATCTTCTAAGTATAAGTTACTAGCAATTTTCTATAGTAACTAACTAGATACTCTACTATTATAACCTTACTATATATCTAACAAACCTACTTTTATACGCGCTTAACTTAATTTTAATAATACTTAGCTATACACTATTATAATTACGCTTATTAATACTATTACTAGATTAAGATTTAGAGGCACGCTACGCTAGTAATACTATTATTATTTTTATATTAGATATAATATTATTACTCTCTAACATTAATACTATTACTATAATAACTAGAAATTTACGCTAAGATCTATAATAGTGCTATTATTTACGTTTACCTTTATAATAAATACTAGACCTAGTTAAACTATAAATTATATACCTAAACTACTTCTTATTAACAAGTACTATTTTTATAACTATAATATACTATAGACTTTATAAAAGTTACTACTAATCTTATAGTTATTTATATATCTATTAAGATATAAGCTAGATATATACTTATTACTTCTAGTATATAAGAGTTATAATAAGAGCTCTAATAAAGAATTTTACTACTTTATTAATATTCTTTTTATATAATAAACAGCGTCTACACTTAATAAGATTATAGTAATAGTATCTTAGCGCGCTTTTAAAGGTAAGTAAACTAATATTATTACTAGTTCTTATTAATTTTATAAGCTAAACTTAACTATAATACTAGTTCTATTTCTAAATCTAAAGTAGAGTTTAACTTTAAACTTCTCTATACTACTAACCTAGAACTAAAAGATATTAAAAACTATAATAGTAGCTACGCTAACATTTATCTACTCTTCTTAAGCTAAACTTAAAGACCTTATATTTATAAAGGTAATACTAAGAGTAAGCCTATTAAGATATCTAATATAGAAAAAGCCTTAAGTAAATATAATAGTGTATTATAAGTAAAGACTAGCGCATTTTATAATACCTACCTATACTAAGATTCTAATATACCTAATATAAATAGAGTAAAAGTTAACGTAGATTAGATAGAACTAAATATAAAATAAAGTAAAATAATTAATATAAATACCTATCTTATTCTATTATTATAAACTTATTATATTAGCTATTTAATCTAAATTTACTAGTGTACTATATAGAGTATACGTATAATATAGAACGTAGTATAATAAAAACTAATAAGTAGAATTAACTATAACTATAACTAACTCTACCTTCTACTAAGAAATACGTATATACTATACGTTTATATAGAGGTTTTCTTATAGCTATAGCTAGCACTTCTTATAAAGTATATATATACGCGTATATCTTCTAAAATATTATATATAGGTTTATATATAACTATAACTAATTTCTCTATAAGTATTTATATCTTAATATAGATTTTATAAAAATAGTTTATAGTCTAATTATATACCTATTATTATATAGCTATTTTTATATAAGTAATAACCTCTATATTACTACGCGTACTATAATAGTTAAGTAAAATTATAAATATATAATAAGTTTAATAGAAGTAAGCTAGTATTTTATATACTATCTACTATAACTATATTTATATAATTTTACTATTTCTAGTAGCTATTATTATAATAGAGTAACTCTAGAAATCTTATTAGACTAGAAAGTAACTATTTACTATAAACCTATATCTCTTACTAGTGTTAGCTTTAATACTATAGTAGTTATAGTTAAATAAGCTATTAGAGTTAGTAATTAACTTCTATTCTCTAATCTTAACAAACTTAGTCTTATAGATACTATTATTAGTATAAGCTAGTATAAGAATCTATTATAACTAGGCTCTACTATTCTATATAATATAAAGCACTATAGCTACACTAAATAAACTCTATAATATATTAAAAAACGTATATAATATAGTAAGAATTCTACGTAGTAGATTAGTAGTATCTATTAGCGTAAAGTTAATATTACCTAGATTTAGATATAAGTAAATAACTAATATAAAGTATAGAAGCTTAATATTACTAGGCTACGCTATAATAATTTTCGCAACGTCTATTAGAGTTATACTATATTAGAGAAACTTAATACCTAGAAAAGTATAGCTTATAAAGTTATAGAGATTAATATTAGAAGAAAAACTAAAGTACTTACTAGCTAGATAGAGATAGTCTAGTAGAATAACGCTTATGCGTTTAGCCTAGTTATATACGTCTTACTATAACTAAGAGTATAGTATATTTAACTAAAGCTAGAAATAGTAGTCTTAGGTAATAACTATAACTAGATCTAACGTAATTTATATATATTTATTAAAAGTTACTACTAGTTTAGCTATAAGGTTAATTTTAATTATAGAGATCTAATAAGTTTATTAAACTTAGTAATCTTTTATATATATATACTACTAAACTTATATTTAAAGGTTCTATATACTAGTAGAAGTAAAGGCTTTCTATACTCTTAATTTCTTTATTTACATATACCTCTCTCTTAAACAAAGTTAGTGTAAGTACTATTAATATTATATATACATTAATAATTATAAAATAATATAAAGAAGTAAGAAAATAAATATTTAAAATTAATAAATAAAAGTAATCTTACTAACTATAATAGGTATAATATAAAGTTACGTACTATACTATTATTTAATATAACTCTATTATAAACGTACTCTAACACTAACTATCTACTCTAGGTTTTTTAGAAACTAATTAGGTAACGTCTAATAATTTCTACTTTTTACTAACTTTACGTTTAGCGTAGACTCTTATATCTTTCTAAATTCTAAGCTATAACTATACCTAGACGTTTATATAGTAAATTCTTCTTACTATTAATCTAATATCTCTTACTCTAAGTAAATATAGACTATTATAACTATAATACTTAAGATAATTCTTAGTACTAAAGTTATAATAATATCTACGCCTAGTAGCTTTATAAGTTGTTTTGCTATTTTAATACGCGTAAAGTTACCTTTACTTATAATTAATAAGCTTAGTAATATTTTATTATTCTTACTACTATAGCTTACTATCTCTACTTACTTTTACTACGCCTTTACTATCTTTATTATTATATTCTTACTCTAATAGTTATATATAATTACATTACTCTCTATATTCTATCTACTACTAATCTCTATCTTTTACGCTAATAATATAAATTCTATATAATTAACTATAGTAAACCTATAAGTCTAACTAAATAAAACCTTAGCTATAATATTTACTAACTATATCTAGTATTATAAAGAGCTACTAGCTCTTCTTCTAGTAACTATATATATTATTATATATAGTATAAAAGAAAGCGTCTTTAATATTATAAAGCACTTTAAAATTATTAATATAAAAACCTTACTTCTATATATAGCTAACTAATAGCCTATACTTATTATTTATTTTAATAGTATAATATATAGCCTATATAAAGACACT